TAGTAATTGTTAAGGAGTTTCTTCTCACTTTTCATTCTATCCATTTACAATTTCAATTTTTATAGACATTGAGTTTAATATCATTTCAGCAAGAGGTTTTTTAAATTTTGAATAAAATAAAATTGTCCAATTGGTCATTTCTATTTCAAGTTAACATAAAATTTGACAGAATTTTCTTTAAATTAACGGAAATTTCTTCCGGATTTTTTCAGTACTGATAATTCACAAATATTTTTATATCTGATGATAAAAATAGTTTTTAACAAGTTACGGAAAGCATTATTTATGTTCCGTATTGTCTTCTTAGCAAATTTGTATGGCTAAATCTGTGACAGACAAATGAAAGAATACATTTCACACTTTTGCACAGCTTTTCCTGAAATTATCTCATTGTTTGGATAATACCAATGATAAATGAGTATTGGGAGGAATTGTTCGTATAAAGTAAATAAATTCAATTTCCCTTTAGAAGCATTGATAAAAAGAGAGAGAGAAGGAGGGAGAAAAAAAAATGACATATTTAAAAATTAATTAAAAATTAAAGTATGCAAAAAAAAATGACAGGATAAAGTAAAAATGTAAGCTTAGCATATCAGATGGTAGAACATTGTAACAGTCGTACCTGAACGTTTTTGAAGCAGGAGTGAATGATGTGAGCAAATATTGAATAAATAGCTCGATATAGCTTTAAAAATTTTAAAAAATTAAAACTTAAAATAAAAAAATATAGTGTGAATAAAAGTGTCTAATAAAATACTATTATGACTTTTTGAACGCTTTCAATACGTCACAAAAAATTTTTGAGACATAAAAAGTTTTGTTTTATTTAAGATTAAATTGCTAAAGATCAAATGGCATATGGTGCGGTACGATTTAATCCATATGCTCATTTATCATGTCCTTCCGGTACCACAAACACTACACCAGCCTTTGGCTATTCACCGATACATCCAATAGCACCAATGGGAATGTTTACTAATAGCTATTCAAATGGTTCATTCATTATTTTTTTTAAAAATTATTTTATTCATTTTCAAATTTTGTTGCTTATAATAAATTATTTTTTTCTTTTTTTGCATTTCAGGAATGATTCCAAGAAAAAATCGACGAGAAAGAACAACGTTTAACAGGCAACAATTGGAAATTTTGGAAAATTTGTTTGCTACAACGCATTATCCGGATGTATTTACTAGAGAAAAAATTGCTGAGCAAGTACAATTGCAAGAAAGTCGAATTCAGGTTTTAATTTCTACTCTTTAATTTACCTAATACTTCTACTTATATTACTACTCAAAAATGATTCCTAAAAAATGATGCATATTTTTCTTTATAAAAAAGCGAAATCTTTATGAAAATAATAAAGCAAAATAATATCTCTCATTCAAAAGCCATCGGGAATAAACACCGAAAAAAAAAGAAATAACTTCTGGCGAGCATTTGCCATACTTGTCAATCATTCTTTTTGTGAGCTTTGTCAAATATAGCAACAGCTAATAATTTGACATACCAAAAATAGTTTCTGATGCGGGTATGACACACAAATAAATATTATATTACAATATCTGTAGCAGATATTGTAATGAAATTTTGATCATAATAAATTCGCATATAGGAGATTCTATTTCAGTCTTTCATGATTTCTTTTTCAGTCTTTCATGGTTGTTAAGTTTAGAGAAGAATAATTTGATATTTCAATTTTGATTAAAAGCGTTGATTAAATAATGTTTATGGGAAAATAATCAAAGCTAATATCATAAACTAACAATATGCTATCTTTTGTATTGCAAACCAGGTGTGGTTTAAGAATCGACGTGCTAAACAACGACAACAGGAGAGACAGAAGCCCAAAGGATTACAGGTAATTACGGATGCTAGCTCATCTTCAAGTGGTACTACAAATGCTGCTAGTCTGAATAATGTTTATGCAGATTCCATGGATAGTCCAATGAAGGAAGTTTCAGATGGAACAAAAGAATACACAGTGTCAAAATCCACAGGACAATTTGCTAGTGAACTTGAGAAGTAAGCAATTTGTAGTTGGAGTATAATTTTTTAAGGAGATTGTTATTGGTTGATTTTAAATTCTTCGGAGTGTTACCTATTTCTTAAGAATTCGACATGCATTTTCATTAATAAAACATTTGTAATTTCAGCTCGAAAAATTCAAAAAGTTTGCTTGTCAATTTAAGAAATTCAATAAAGACGGAAAACGTAGACGATAGAGTACAAGCTTCATGCTCCACTAATGGTTCATTATCAAGGAGTTCTGAGGTGACCGAAAATTTATGGTCAGAAAATCTGGTAAATAATAAGATTTTCATGGTCATTTATTTACGATTGCTTTGCTGCCACAATGCCCGGCTTAGATGGATACAAAGGATGAAAAATTTAATTTCTAGTTTGAGAAATTATGTCAAAATAGTGGCGCAAATTGTATAAGTTAAATTATTATGTCAAAGATAGCTCATCATTACAACAACCTCAATTAATGTATGATAATGATTGAGTAATAACAGTTATAGATTTAATATTGAATAGTTAATTGAAATCATAAAGTAGCTTCTTAATTCCTACTTATTATTAACTAATCTTTGCTATTTACAGACATTCTCGACTGCATCAGTGACAGCGTCATCATTGTCAACCACCTCAACTGCATCACTGTCATTACATCAAATGACACTTCCACCACCGCCTTATCCACATCCTCAGGATTTAAATTCATATTTCTACAGTCATCAATATTACCAACAAATGTTGGATAGCAGTGCTGCAGTAGCATATAACAATACATATAACAGCTATCAGGCTACTGCTGCAGCAACTGCTTACAATCAAAATTGTCCAGTTCCCGCTTACTCCGCACATCAGTACTTTTTTGGACCAAGATAGCTCAATGTCATCCAATATTGTCGGTGAATAGAAATGATTCCGAAAGAAAATCCGGAAAGCCTAGCATTTTTTTTCTTCTTTCCTAACATGTAAAAATATTAGAAAATCTTCGTCTCATTTTTTTTCTTTTCTTCTTTTAATGACTTACAATTCTTTTCAATTCCCATTGATTTTTCTATCTTTCTGCATTGATTTCACTACAGATCCATTTATTCTATTACAAACTGTCATGAATTATATTGAAATCTGAAAAAGCAAAGAAAAAAAAGAAAAAGAAAATGATGCACTTTGCTATTTTCTGGAATGCTTTTCAAAATGACTCATTTCAATTCAATTGCATCATCCTTTAACTAATTTAAAGCTTTTTAAGCTTTTTAATGAAAGTAAAACTTTTATCTTCATGCGTTCTGCCATCTTTCACCTGCGATCGATTTATCTTCAGAATCTTCAGTAAGCACTAAAATCTGTCATTATTATATGACAAGGACATTTGAACAAAATTTGAATGACATCTGTAAAATGAACATCTGTTGGAGAGACGCAGACTTGATATACTTTATGGAAGTTTGATTGCCTTCAAGAATACATCTAATACACTTTCATTTCAATTGTGAAATATTTTGTCTGTAAATCATTTTGCTCGCTAATTATTACACAGTTTGTTTAGGCACTAAACAGGATCCATTGTTGTTGTTTTTTCCTTTTTTTTTTTAGTTAAGTTAGGTATGTAAGTCTTATCAGTCATTGTTTTTATGGTCATTAATTCAACACTAATCTTATTGTACATCTATTTCACAAATAATATCAATCATTCCATTCGTGATATTTTTAAGTCAAATTGCATTTAATTTAAATCAGAAGTAAACAAATAATCAAGATCACTATTTATGCTCAATCATAACAATTTTATTAATATTTGATATTTTGATTGATTTGCTAATTGATTAGAGAGTGAAATTTAACAAATATGTTAAGCAGTAAATGAGCAAAATCTATGCATGAAAAAAACAAAATTCTGAGAATTTTCCGAATGATCATTTCCCGACAGTGTTTCTTTAAGACTAGATTGAGTGTTCAATAACAGGGTAGTAGAGGATCAAGGTAATAGGGTAGTACAAGATCAAGGTAATAGGGTAATAAAGGATCAAAGAAGAATGTTAAAGAAGCAAATAAAGATCATACATTTTAAATTTATTCCTGTAAACTCAAGCCATTGAATGAATGAATGAATGAATGAATGAGTGAATTAACTGTAATTATTCCACTTTTAAATTACTCGTGGTTAACCACCATCAAAGAAAAATGAGCAAAATGGCTAAAACTAATTTTATAATTAATTTTTAAAAATTAATTGAGCAGTAAAAGAGCAAAGTCTAGATATGAAAAAATTGCATCCTTTATCACTGCCTGATCATTTCCTTGCACTTACAATAGAATAACACGTATTTCACGTATTTTACAATCATATCCGAAAATTCTTTGTTTACTATATTTTAAATGAGAAACACTTTCGTTAAGGTTACGGGCAATCCTTTTATTTACTATTACTGTTGAATAAGTACCACTTGTGACACAGCAATAAATTGTTCGAAAATTGATGGTTAGCAGAATGTCAATTGAAGACAGTAGCAATTGACAATAATTTTTGACCTTTTCATCAAAAGAAATAACCAACTGCTAGCCAACTTAAGAATTTGATACATTCGATAAGAGCAAAAATAGAAATTAGCCTTTATTGACACTTACACTTATGAGATATACTAAGTACTAAGGGAATAAGTTGACAGTCACAAAATTGAGGGAAGTTAGCTTGACAAACACTATCAAATGTCCTCAAATCATGTTTGTCACCATTGTCGCATCTTTTTCTTTTCACAAAATAGATTACTTTCTAGATAGGCCACTTTTTTCTGATAATCCAGAAAGCGCATATTTACAACAACACTTCGAGTCAGCAAAATGTCATTTGAAGATGAGTAATGTAAGGGAGAGGAGAAAGAGAAAGAGAGTGAAGAAAAGAGTAAACAAGCGTTGATGCCAGCAGAGAAACAAAGAGGAATAGCAATTTGCGAAGAGAGTATCCCGTCGGGAATGGTGAGCAAGGAAAAATGATGGCAAGTTTGCGGTTCTCAATTAAACTTACTTGGCTGGGAGGTGACTCGCGATCAAGAAGGCGAGTACTCCACGGTGAGGTCGGCCCATTGCACTTGTGGGCAGTGACTGACCCGTGTGGCAGTCTCGAGTTGGGACTTGCCAACAGCATAATTTTTGCGTTTGGGGACAGACAGTTGTGCCGTTCCCCGCCGCAGGTCGCAAATGGATTTTGGTGTGACCCAGTGAGGCGCTGAGAGAGTCATTCACTTCTTCAACCCTTACGCCCTCGTTGGTCTTGTTGAGGTCGAGTTTGCGTAATAGGTTGTTTTATTCATCGTGAGAAGCGTTTCCTTGCAGGCGGTTTATGTAATTAACTTCATATTACTAAGTTTTTCGATCTTTCATCAAATTCTAGTAAACACAAAACAATGTCCTTTAACATTTTGGACATCGAGAAATCAGAATTCTGGAATTAGGATTTGAAAACAAGTGTGGAATGTGGAAAGTGTCGGTTGGGAATCGTACTAATCCCGAATCCCGAAATGCATAAATAACGCTGCTCATAAATTTAATATATACGAGTAGCACACATAAATTTTAAATGTATGAATAATATGCAATTTATAGCAACTCCCACGAAAAAAAAAATTTGAACCAAATCTGATTGTGGAGTGGCTTCAAACGAAATAGTTTAACAGATGGAGCTATTTTATTGCGGCTCAAAAACAAACAAGTAAAGCTTCCAAAATCAAAAAACAAAATAATTCAAAATTAACAATAAAATAATCATATTTTAAAAACCACCAAGTTTTCTTAAAAGACATGTAAATTCGAGCGCTCTCTTTGTACTGGTAACATCACACAAATTTATGAATGGCAAATAGAGATCCAAATTGAAAGTCTGCGGATCAAGGCAAGCAAATTTCTGAATAGTAAGATTTATAAAAGAACTCTCTGGAATGAAATAATTCAAGATAGCATGCTTGAATTTGCTAACTAGTCTTTTACTTTAAATCTAAATTTACCAACAAATCATGCAGTAGAAGTTCAATTATTCTTCGAGTAGCTGCATTCTGTAGTGCAGTAGCAAGCGATACTACAAAGTGATATATATGACTCTATAACAAATAACGAATAATTCCGCCTTGTCAAATTATGCATAACATAACCTCAAAAAAGATACATATGTATTGTTTACGGTTGTGGGTAAAGAATTTTGTTAAATTTGCAGAAAACTTCAAGATTAAACAGTAAATTCTTATCTTTTTCAAAACAAAACATTCATCAAAAACCTTTACAATTTCTCGGCATCAGTGTGCAGCAATCTCTTCTTGACTTTTTTAGATCCGCTTAAAACTATATTAAATTTACCTTCAAATGTACAACTTTAGTCTCCCGAACAAATTTTTCAAAAATCACTAAAACAGAACGCTTAACAGGATTTGCCTGGTCGGTTTCGTCATCATCACTCAAAAAAAATGAAACCTAACTTCCTAAAGCAAGTTTGGAGATAAAATCTGAAGATCAACGAGAGATAAGGGTCGAACAAAACCGAATGTAAGTCTTATGACAAAAGCACCAACTTCTTTTCCTTCCTGCGCAATCGCCTCTTACAATTCGTGTTTGTCGTTCTTTCTGCTGCTTCCAGTACGCATGCATAGCAAGTTGCAAACAGTGAACAAGGAATCGCGCAGACACTAATGCTTTTGGCTCTACAAAACTCTAAAAATTACAAAAATAGATGCAAATTTTGGGAAGAAGTAAGAATTTTAGCAAAATCCTTCACCAAAATCGAGGTTTTGTTCAAATATATATTCATTGATGCTTCGAGCAAAACTCAGCATGTAAGGCACCGGTGACATAATACCAGCAGCAAGACATAATTCACTAGTATACAACATTTCATCACTTGTCGACAACTTTAGCATCGCATTTAACCAAACCTGAATAAGTTAACCTTTGTAGCACTGTATTAAAGAAATCATAACAACTGTTACATGTTCAATTACTAGATTTCGTGATTGGAGTAATATTTGCTATGGCTGCATAAGTAACAAAAATGACTACAGCCTTTAACATATGAACACAAGACGACAATGCAACAGCTGAAAATGGATGAATTTTATCAGCTTGAAATAACGAAGAATATATTTTTGTATTTATTTTTTAAATTTTTGGTCAACTGAAATGAAAATACCAACCATGCACCAATTCTCAACAACACCAGCCTTGTTACATCTGTCAACGAGTTGCAAAACACTGGGAGATCCCCATGCTTGTGTGTAAGTAAATGCTTGTTTCAACATTTCTGCATCTGATGACTTAAATGAGTGCTTAGGTGAAAGGAAAATTGTAAGCAATTTCTATAAAATGGGTACAGCTGGCAGTTTTCTCTTCGCACAATTTGATCCGTGACAACTAGCTGATGTTAGCACCATGCTTAGATATTAGCATGCTTTAAAACAAAAATTTTTCACTTTCATCGAATTTAAAATTGTCAAAATCAAAAACCATATGCTACAGAACTGAATCAAACAGCACTAACATAGAATTTAATAACAGAAAAATACCATTGTTGTTATGTATGATTCAGCTGGTGAGGATACTCGAGAGCTCGAATGAAAGATTTCACCAGACTCTGACGTGGATTAGTTACAGATTGTGAACACATCCATTGGACTAAGCAAACGATCATAAAATTAGCATCATCTCGAAAAGCGTGCAATACATTCTGCAATTTCTTTCAGTTACATAGCAAAAATGATAGAAAATCATACATGATCCTAAATTAATATTGATTATGTAAATTACCGAATAAATACACATTTTGGATATTTGCTTTAAAATTTAATGTTAATTTGGTGTGTTAAAACCATCAAAATTTTTTGAAATCAAGAAATACAGCATGAAAGTGATATGGATTATAGTTCATCTCTTTCACTTATTTAAAACATCCAAAGTCCTCTAATTATAATAAATGTAGTTACCTTAATATTTTCATGAAGATGCTCATAGTTTTCAAATTTCATCATCCTGAAGTCATCCAAAAGAATCTCGCCAATAACTGGTAAAAAATCAACCAATTCAGCATGATTCACTTTGTAAAATAAAGAAGTGTAAATTGATATTAAATTTTTGTTTAAAACTTCAATTCATAATGCATTTATATAATTAAAAATTGAAGCACTTTGCATGGTTCTTTATTTAAAGTGCAACTCTCCTTAGATCCTAGAACGATTTTGTACGTTTCAACATATTAACGCGATCAACAAATGTTGCCTTTTGTTCATTAGTATGAGCATTTGATAGACTGCAACTATCAGCTGCTGTCCAACGAATTGTGATGCAAATTTATAGAAGCATGACTGGGTATTGTCCATTCCACGAACAGCCCCATTTACCAGCTCGACTGGGTAGCTATAAAGAAAAATAAAAAAAAAATTTAAATTATTACAATAACTTTGAACAACAAACATATCAATCAAGTAAACAAAACACACACTGCAAATAATTCAAAATGAAAATTATTGACCAGATCATCATATATGAATCGAATCCTGGTTAGTAAGATAAATGAAAGGTTAAAAGCAAAAGCGCCATGACGTTCGTCATGGTCGTTCACTTTGTCTTTTTATCCTATAAAAAAATTTATTGCTAAATAAAGCACTGTCCTGCACACGGCCGTTAATGATCAAAACTAAATAAAGAGTAAAACTAATGCCGAAAAAAAAAAAACAGAATAGAACTTACATTGCAAGTTTTGAACTGAAATAAATCAAATTCAGCACAATGATGATGCACATACAGAATCAAATGTAAAAAGTCCTCCGCTAAAAATCACTGGCAAGTTTCAAGAGCAACATTTATTACAGCATTATTAGGTTGCCTCATTCAAGAGCATTTATTACAACATTACCTGAAATTGAATTCCTTTAACAATTTTTTTATACTACACCACAAAAAAGACAAAAATAAGGTCGCTGATGTATAGGTGTGATGGAAGTTTGTGCAAGCATCTGGAAAAACTCCGGCCAGTACTGAGATCTGTAAAATCCAAGACGAACAGACATGACTCAACTCCAGATTGAAATCTTTCTCTGCAAAGAATTCAAATCTCAAGTATATATAGTTGCCCATAGCTAATTTCTGATTGACGAAAACAATAACAGAGATTGCTGTTTACACCAAAGTACTAATATACTAATAAAGTATGCTTTACAAACATACAGCATTCGGCACGATCATGGGAGTTCTTAATTTCCCACTGCTGTAGCCATAGCGTTTTAAAAAAAAAATGCTCGAAAGTAGTTAAAGTTAAGGAGAAAATGAAGGTATAAAGATAAGGTTAAATTAATAAAATTTATAATATTCATGTGTTGTATTTCATTTTTATTTTAATTACCTTTTTTTCGAGCAAATTTTTCAAAACACTCTCATCACCTGCTGCTGCCATTTGTTCTAGTAAATGTTGGAATGTATTTGTTTTCATTTTCATATCTACCTGAAAAGTATTACTGTAACTATCGATTTTTTATAGTGAATACGCAAATTTTTTTCTTGAGAGATTTCAAAAATATCTGGCACTACAGCATTATTACGAGCAGCAAATAGCAATAATTTACTCGCCAATTTTCTGCATATCAACTAATTTTCTACAACAAAACTAATGTAATTTTACCTTTAATATAAACTGGAATTAACCTGATTCAAAAGTGTTTATTATCACAAATAGTGCAGTGATCAAGTCATCAAGTGGGGCGCTAAGAAGTAGCAGGTGTTCGACATTCTGTGGAAGTTTCATTAATATTAATATATAATAAAATGCTTGTGATGCTCTTCACCTAATGATTCTTAAGTAAAGCTGAAAGCATAAAGCTGAAAAATAATTGAAATTTCTATATTGTTTATTTATTTGTATGTATATTAATATTAATATATTACAAGCATTATATCATTCTAGTGCAACTGCATAAATCAACCATAATAATAATAAAAATGCAAACCGCATCATTATCAGCAAGAATGCCCGTATCATATTCTCAAACGAAATGGAAATTCAAGAATTTCAGCAAGTTCGAAAAAAATCCGCCATTGGATCTACTTTTTTCTTCATTCTGAATCCTTCGAAAACCGAAACCAACGTCAGGATTGCTGGGTGTAACTACAAATTAATTCTCTAAAAAGCTTGATATGAACAATAGATTAACTATCTAGCTTATCTAGCATATTAAGAACATCTAAACTTATTGGCCAAATAATATCTCGCTTAGCAATTGTGATTTAAATGTGACTCAATGGTAAGCACACCATGAATAAATGATACCCTCAATAACTCAGAAGCGCGCTACCTGCTTGACTAAGCCATCAAGATTGTCTTCAATTCGTTCTGCTGGTGATGCACCGAATTGCTGCAAAGCTTCAATCATCGTTTTCAACTCCTCACAATCAGGATAACTTTGCGCAAATGAAACAACAGCTTCGACTGCATAATTTACACTTTCTGAAAACAGATATTTAGATTCAGTATTAGATGAGATAAACTAAATTAAAATGACCCAACTAAAACGAGATCCCGACAAAAAGTACATGATATTTATATTCTAAACTTCTAAACAGATAAATGAGAAATTTTTGACTAGAAATTTATTTTAAATGGCTTTAGTTCATTAACCAAAAGCAATTCAGTTCATCAAATCATTCACAGCACTTACTTGTGCCACTGTGTTCATGAATGTACAACAAAGCACGAACAAACTTGTCATTTGCAAATGCACACGCACAGTGGCTTGAGTGCTTGTTTCATTTTTATTTTCATTTTTTAAGGAGTATTCCAGAGCCAATAAGCACCAATTTAGAAGTCATCAATGATCCCGACAATTCCAAACATTCTTTCTCCGATGTGTAATTGCATCTAGGAAATAATTCCTAATTCATAGAATTAGAAATGCACTGCTACATTTTCGTTGGGACATCAGAAATTGAAAGCTTATAACAACATTGCAATATCTGAAACATTACTTCAGTAATGGAACTTAATTCCGTAAAATCGTTGCCAGAGCTTCAATGCAGTATTCACGTGAAAACTGCCGAAATTCATCGATCACTTCAATGAAAACAGCCGATCGCAGCACCTAGAAATTAGAAAATTTTGAGAAAAAGCCAAATGAAATAAATTTGATCTGAAAAAAAATTTTATTTAACAATATCTCAGTGGTCTGAAAGAAGTCAAAAACGCACTGAAGCAAATTTAGTGACCTGTTGAAATAGCTAGAAAAACTGAAAAAGATTTAAAGATCAAAAACAAAACAGTATACCTCTGCTTTCACCAACGTTTCCAGACAGGAAAGCATTCATTGATCAGGTCATTGATGCCATAGCAAAACGAAAAGCATTGCTAAATTTGTCGTGAACAACAAATGAAATAAATCATGTTACAATAAATTACAAAAATTCCTTACTCTTTGCCATTTTATTTAAAACAATACCAGTGTTGTCGGATATATTATTATTAAATATTTTTAAGAAATTTTGCGTTTTGTTTTGCATTTCGTGTCAGTTCAGCTATAGCACAAATGGTTATATTCATGAATGCTTGTTTGCTTACATTTATGTTTTCAGTTTTTCTGGCTATTTCAAGCGACATCACTTTTTCACTTTTTTTTTTGACACAACTAATTCTACATTAAAACTTAAGTATTAAAAATTTTCAGCGATGGCTCTGCATTGCTATCATGAAACCAGATATTATTATGCGCTTTTTCAGGACAGCACCGAATTCAACTGATGTAATGCGGAGTAGTTGAATGAATTAATACTTCCAACCGAGCAACTCTTAATTCATTTCAACTACTCCACATTACATACTACTTAAATAATCAGTAAATAGCCTACTATCTCCGCAATTCACTCACTTTCACTTTACCCTACCACTTTTCCATAGTTTCCCCGCAACTTACCCAACTCGAAATATCAGATACACCAACTTGCTTACTCCCGGAGATTCAGGTTTAATTTCCTAGATGAGTGGTACAACGAAGATACTATGAAAAATCTCGATCGAACTTTTAGTGAATTTATTTTAGAAAAATTATTTCAGCATGGAAGACATGCAAGTCTCACGCATTTCAGATTCCAGTAACACAGAGAACACGGAGATGTCACTCATTTTAGGTTCACGCTTAAGTAATTAATAGTTGTTAAGTCAGCGATAACTGTGGTAGCAAACAAGAAAATCTTAAAATTATTTTGTTTTTTTTTGAAGCACATCGATATGCAGAACTTGACTAATCTCGTTAAATGTTCCAAGAATACAGAAATTAAAGTTGTAAAGATTTGTATGACTGTCATTTCTACTTCAGAGTAGATTTTTTTTAATTAAAAAAGTCGTTAGACCATTAATTGGATGTAAATTAAATTTCATAAAGATTCAAATCAGTGAAAGTAACAAATCATTTCCTGAAAACTCATTTTCAGGAAATTCACTTCACAAATTTTATTCATTATTTACCAATTGTTCCTTTCTCCGGAAACGTCTTTTCTTTTCTCTCCCTCCCTCTCTCTTTGCTCCACATCAATTCTTTTTATGATATCCATTATTTCATTCAATCATCTAAAATTTCCTGACTTCATAAAATATGCTGCTCAAAAATTCTAATTCTTCGTGGCTGATTTTTAGAAAGCAAAAAACAGTTCAGGAAAATCGGAAGGAAGAAGATTTGTTTACTTTCACGATCTAATCAAAATATAATGTTTACTTTACTACTACATGAATCATTGGTTAGTTATGTTAGTGAAAGTAGAAAAAGGGAAGTTACATGAGATCTGATATGAAATAAAAATATTACGCCATATTTCCTGTACATTATCCTAAGCATCGGTTCTGCTATCGTAGCCGTTGCATCAAATTCCGGAAGTAATCCTTATGTCAATTTGTATACCTTTATTATTCACACATTTTTAATTGTGATTGTTTATATTTTAACAAACTTATCAATCAACATTAGTCTATTGTTACAGTCTATTTTATTTCAAATGTTATTCATATCAAATAATTTTAGAAGTGTTTTAAGTCATAGCGTATAAAGCGTTAAGTAAAATAAAAAATAAAAGTATAAAAATATCATCGTGAGATATTGCTTTGACAAAAAGGTTATAAACATTTGCAAACAAAGTTAGAATGAATGCCCGCAATTTAGAATGACAGTTATTTTAGTTTAATTAATGTTAACGGTCATATGTTGACGCCACTGATTATTCTCTCCATCTGATCATTCCAAAAATGAAAATTACTTCACAGAGTGCATTACAGTAATCGGCAACTTCACACAGCGATTAATTATGGATAATCTAATTAAGGCGACGGCTAGTCTTACATTAAATTATTATTTCTTTTTTCAAGTCTGAGAATTACTTTTCTAATTGATTCACTCGTCACTCAGGATTACCTAATATGCGGTCATTTCGCTTCTTCGTTTAAAGATGTCTAAAAGTAAAAGACATTTTCCATATTGCTTTTCATCAGAGTGACGCCAGTCACAATCACTTCAAATTACTCTTTCATTTGGTTTAATGCTCTCATCAGTGTAAATATTCCACTCATTTTTTCTTTATGTTTCATACTCAATTTACGTTACTATTGCATGATTTCTATAATTAATAAATAGGATTTCAAAATTTAAGTTTTAGTCATAGAATGGCAAATTATATTCCAATTTTTCAATTATGAAACTTTTTAGTTCAACTGTAAAACTTTTTTTTTCTTCTCTAAATAGAATTCCATCAGTGTGAAGAGCGATATGATATATACTGGTATGATAAAGCTCAGTTAAAATTTAATTTTAAAAAATTAAAATTAGTATGAAATTAGCAAAGTAGCATTTGTATTTAAATTGATTGCTATATTTTTATATTCTAATGTGTTCTCCAAACTTAAAATTTTTGATGATTATCTGAAATAGATATTTGAGTATTATTTCTATGCCAAAGATTTAGTTATCGATTTCTATCATCATAGCGCTCTCAATCCTTCGATTTCTATTTTATATCATTTTACTTTCCACCAACCTAATAATTTGCATTGAAATATAGCGGTATCCGGATAACGAATTCATAACGAATACCACCTGCAGCCATTTTTCGAGGTCATGAAATTTGAGATGGAACGGGATAATCTGAAAATTGTTAGCCATCAAAGATTTTTCCATTTCATTTCCTTCTCTCCTCTTCAATACACTCTTCATTAACACATTTTAGCTGCAGCAGAATATTACAGTGCTAAATGAAATCAGAATTTTGTACAAAACTAAATTTTGTTTTAAAACCGAGAATTTATAAAGTTTTCTTTTTAAAAGTTTCAAAATGTATTATAATGCATGTTTTAGTAACTATCAATAATCTCAGAGATTTTCAATTATTACAAATTAATTGTCAAACTATCATCCGGATAATTCAACCGTATTTAACTTCACGTTCCCTTATGCAACAATTAACATTATCACATGTTTTGATTTTTGTAGAAAAACACATGCTGTTTGAAATTTCAAAGTCGAAAAACCTTTTATGTTTTAGGTGAAATATTTGTCATTTGTCAAAATGCGTCACGTTGACAATGACTGCTAAAAAGGTGTGAGCAATTATCAATTTTCGATTAGAGGCGCATCCATTCATCGCTCTCAGATCAGCGATATCGATAGCGAATCATTTTATTCTCAAAATTACCTTCTCTCTCTACCTGTATGATTCGAATATGCTAGCATCAAAGACATTCCTACCTCAATCAACTTGCACCTTTTATAGATACTAGTGCAAATTGTTCGACCAATTAAGAGTTCCCTAATTTTGCTGCAGTCGGATTATCCATTAATTTACCTCTTCATGTCACTCAGGAATGTTACTTTGATATGATCAGAAATAATGATAACGTGTCTGACACATTGATACTAACTTTGACAAGTGAAATTCATGAAAAGACAATTGCTTAATGATTACTTAAGCGGGTGGATGATATATTTTTTATGGGATTCAATCAGATTTACAATTTCAAAAATAGTTTAAGACTTTTTTTTTTACATAACTCTAATTCCGGATAATCAATTTAATCGGCCATGTATACTTGTATTTCTTTTTTTGATTTAAAACATTTCACTTTTTTTCACTATTATATTCTCATATCTCTTCTTTCTCTTCTCTTTCTTTTTCCCATTGCATATTTAAATTCTAGGTTTTTCTTTGCTGCCGTAAATTTACTTTTCTCTCTTCTAGTAATTTTTTTTTTAATGTGAACATTTGAAATAAATTCACAATACCTTAACTTAATTTAAACGTTATTTCAAGCTTAAAATTAGTTTGAAATGTATTCATTTATCTTCGGTATATCTAAAAGAATGGAAAATGGATTTAACAGAACACCAAATTTGGAAAATATTTACAACTATTAACAATGTTCTTCTGGTCATCATCTCAAACTACAATACCAAAGTAAATTTATAGAAGTTATATTTTCCACTCAAAATCTTACCATAAACAAAAGTCAATTCGTCGTTCAGTGACGTGTAAACGGATATGAATGCCGCTGATATGCACCGCAGGGGTACCTTACTACAACCATTGTTTCGTTACACATGAAAAAAACTAATTATCTACTACTAACAGCTATTTCGTTAGAGAACTTTAATAAGTAGTACCTTAGTACCTACTGTCATTCTACTAAGGTATTAATCTCCTTTTCGTTATACCATCAATCACCATCGTATCAGATAAGCCTTATTTACTGTATTACGTAAGTAATGATGATTCGTAAATAAATTTATAATTGATTGTAAGGTAAATGTAATGAAACCGACATAATTCTATACAATCACAAAATGTTTTTTCTTTAATTACTGTATTAAAATTTTTACAAAATATTACAATTTCGACATTAAAAAATTGATTAATTGGGAAAAAAAAGAGTTAGCAATTCCTTTTCGAACTGTAAAATTGTTAATATTTTGTCCGTTTTAATAATATCGCAGTTAGCTTCTATTTGAATTAAAAAAAAAGAAAAAAAAAACGAAAAACTTTCAATAGCATAATTTCTTTAACTGTAAATTATCTTGTTGCATTAACTCTTAATTAGTATTCCAAATTACAAAAAAAAAAAAAGAATTTGATGATATCAGTTTTTTCTTCATTTAATTTACTTCATATTTCTTTCTCATATTGTAAGAAAGTGGTAAAATTTAAAATTATTTCTAAAAATGCATATTTTTTTAAAATAATTGATAATATGTAATATTTCACTTAAAAATATATTTTCTACTTTATCATTCCGTGAGAATTCATTTATTGACTCTAGAACCTTGGATTTCATTTGAATTTAATTGCTCAACATCTATTACCTATCATTTAGAAGTTTGATGACTTTATATGAATTTTAAATTACTCGAAAACTTAGATGTCGTACATTGTCATACGGTGTCGTACGATATACCTTTGGGCGTGGTCGACAAACGCGCCCCACTCAATCATTTTATCCTGGCGTGTCTGCTTTGATTGTAGGATTTGATGAATCAAAAAAATTATTTTAGCTTGTGAATTATTCATAGAAAAAAAAAGCATAGATCAGAGATTATCTCATAAGATCTATCACAATTTTATTTTTTTTTTTATTTTTATTTTTAAAACAAAAATATTCTTAAAATAACATAAATTTTTGCTTTTTTTTTTCTCTTCATTAGTAAATAGTGAAATGTTTACTGATTCATATTTCTTATGTTACTCTCAATTAATGAATTCTAGAATGAATTTTAAAATAGAGAAACGAGTTATTTCACTTTTAAATTATAAAACTTCCATTTGTCCAAATTTTTGAAATATTTCAAAATGTGTTTGTTTCAGGAAAATTTTAGATACAGTAATATTAATGTAAATCGATGGTTAGTAATGGTCCATACCCATACAATATTTTTGGACCACAACCATCGTTTGCATATTCTTCGACACCTGTTTTCCCGGGATATCTAAATCCATCATCCAATACTACAACTAAGTAATTTTTCCACATTTGTGATATCTAAAAAAAAAATGAAAAAAATAAAAAAGTAAAAACCAAGAAGAATTGAATCATTTTGCTTATTAAAATATAAAATTTAAATTTAGTGATCAAAATCGTAAAGCAACTGGACGACGGGAACGGACAACATTTAATCCTATGCAACTTTTTTATCTAGAATCAGTGTTTAAGCAAACTCATTATCCAGATGTTTATCATCGTGAGCAAATTGCGGAAAAAATTGGACTTCAAGAATCTCGAATTCAAGTATAGTGGTTCTTGGTTGTTTGCTTAATTTTCGTTGTTAACATGGATATAAGTTAAATTTTAATTCTTTTTACAATTTTAGCTTAATTCACTTCAGGAATTTTTCATCCTTCCGGAAACAAGTAATGTAATTTCGATTTATTTTATAGCTTTGTAATACTATTTCATATAAAAGGTATGGTTTAAAAATCGCCGAGCAAAAGATCGACAGCAGAAACGGATGATGCAAGCGCGACATAATCATGATCGATGTAGCAGTCATACACCTCCACCAGAACCTAACAAAGGTGAATCGAGTGCACAGAAGAGTATTTCACCGCTTGTAATCCCGGGTACTGCGGAATTTAATCTGAAAACTGCAAATAGGTAAATTTAATTTTCATTGAAAATTTCTACAAGTTATACAAATCAGCAATTTTCTACTCATAGGTATCATTTGTGAAGTTTTTTTGAACTGATAGCATTGTGAGTGTAATTCAAAAATTTTTAAAATTGAAAATTATTAAAAATTAATTTTGCAGTTCTGGAAATATAGTGAAGGAAGAGTATCCATTGAGAGCGGTATGTCAAACACATACTGCAAATTTAGCTGGTATGTTCATTTTGTTTACAAAATTGGATATTTCATATTTCTGGCATTTTAATTAGTTAGAGAGAGGTATTTTTAACACTCAAAAGTTTATTTATTTCGATTCATCATAGTCTTTTGATTTTGAACCTTTTGATCTTATTCATTCAGTACTGTTGATCGATTGATATCAGATATTTAAGAGAGAAATAATTTAGTTAAGAAAAACACAATATAGCTAAAAAATTTTCAATAGCAATGAAAAAGAATTAGACTTTTATTTGATAATTGTTTAAGCAGAAACTGGTTTATTAGGTGATAAACCAAGAAGACTTCCTTTCGCTTTATAATTGAATCAATTAATTTACTGATTTTATTGATTGAATCAAATATCACTTACAAATATTTTTTCTCACTGATTGGCCATTTAAAGTAGCAACAAATGATAGATAAATCAAGTGAAAAATAAGTTTAAAAAATTGTGATAAATTTGCATAAAACGAGATTGTAAACCATTTTTATTTCAGGTTGGTCGTCGGCGTATTCATTAGGTGCGCAACCTGCGGCTGCACATATACCTGGTGAAAGTCATCCGCATGCTGCATGCGGATTTAGTTTAAGTGGTACCGGCGCACCTCCATACTATCCATACCAGAGTGATATTTATAATCCTTATGCTCAAAGTAGCGCAGCTGCGGCAACCTATTCGTATCCGCCAATGTTCAATCCGCTCAGTAATGATTTACAAAGGCCTAGCTAGTTGAATTCAGTATGGCATATATTACTAATTGTCTATATGTAATTAATAGTATTTAAATTATAATTGTTTTTCAAATTAATTCGAAATGCTTTATGTGTGCGTAAAAATCAGTTAATAGTTTTACTGTATTCTATGAAAAAAAAGAAAGAAAGAATATTTGTAGGAAAAAACTATTAACCAAAAAATCATTTACAAAAATCTTTTAAAGATGGAAATATTTGTTAATATTTTTTTATCATATGTAAACTATTTTTGAAAAAGAAAATTTTCCAAATATGAACTACCGTTATTGTCTTATTTTAACTATTAATTTGTTTCTCTTTTATTAATCAATAAATTAAATAAATTATTCTTGAATTTGATTACTGATTTTGTGAGAAATCATTAAATGAATTAATTTATTTTAATACAATTCAAATCACTTCTCAATTTATTTCAGTTCATCTAGCAATCAAATTCTGTTCAATTATTAATTGTTTTTTTTTTTCAATTTCATAAATATTTCATTAAAACGAAATATTTATGAATTTATTAAATTCATTTCTTTATTTATTACTAATTTGGATTTATTTATTTCATTAATTTTCTTGCATTTTTGTCACTTTTTGTTTAATTAGTTTGATCACGTTTAAATGAATGTATAAATGAATGTGTATATATATATGTGTATGTATGTATGTGTGTGTATGTGTGATTTTACACTTATGTTTTGCATTCTAATATAATTTATTAAATTATATTAGAATTAAAACCATTCAATGTGAAATTTTTCAAATTCAAATTAATTTAAATCATTTCCGATTTTATTAATATTAATAATTGTTTACATTTGATATCAATGATGCAATTTGATAAATATTTTGTTTTTCGTTGCTTTTTTTCATTACTACAAGAAAATTCATTTTGTATTTTGTATGAATTTTTTGTTGTTATTATTGTTTTTGAATTGATTGCTTTATTTGAGTATTTATTTTGATGCTATTAATAATCCATTTGATAATTATGCTATTTAAGCAGGTTGGCGACGGTATGATGTGTAATTACTTTCATCCATTTCAGCTGCACAAATTAACAGATGAAAAAGAAATGACAACTAATTTTAGTAGCATAGTAGCAATGAATTTAAAACTTCAAAAGATGCTAAAATATGTCATATAACTGTGACAACTCATTTAGCTAATATCATTTCAAATTTTAAATCGTTTATCAAGTTTTTTGAAAAAAACATAGAGTAACAATATTAAAGTTGTTGTAATGATTGTTACATCATAGTAATGATTGATTTATGAAAGATTCCGTTCTGGATAACATAATTTTCTTTCAGTGAATTAGTTCATTCCAAGAGGTCAACCAAGAGTAATAACACATTGATCTCGAATTCTCACTATGAAAAATTATCGCTTTCATCATTATCATTTTGTTTAATGAACAAAATATTTGGTGACAATAGTTTTTTTGTCGTTTAAGTAAACAAGAAAAAAATTTATTGACATATGTAACTGAAAAGGTCAACATATACACTTTCGTTTCATTTTTGCAGACACGTTTTTTTTTTTTTTAAATTTTTATTTAAAGTAAAAACCAGAAATTATCTTTGTATTTTCCAATTTGCTTTTGTAATAATTTTTTTATCTTTTTTTGTGAAACTTTTAACTATTGAAATATACTTTTCATGAATTAATAATACTTCAATGTTAATATCAAAAGATAACCGATTCTCATAGCAATAGCATATTCAAAGGATAAGCTTAAAATAAGAAAAGAAATTTGACGTGATCGTTACTTATCTAACAGATTTTTTTTTCTTTCTTTCATTTTTTTTTTTTTTTTTTTTTTTGGTTGCATATTGAAGCAAAGAAGAAAGAAGCGGTTAAAAAGAATATTTGTTCGATTCATTTGAAAGGTACTTGAAATTTGCAAAGAGTAAGAAGCTATGATGGTGCAATGGAAAACACTTCAACAAGCAAAAGAAGTTGGCGAGAAAAAAGAAAAAGAAAAGGGAAAGTTGCCGACATAAGGTAAAACAAATAGAAAATATGGTACCAATCTAGGATAGGGTATAAACCTGTTGGAATAGTTCTCCTAAAATTAGAGAGTATTTGATGTGAAAGCACGTGGAAAAATGTAAGAAGGGCAGGTGATAATACAAAGGTACTTCATCCTACTTCATAACACTCTTTTGTGTCCTCATTTTCACACTTCTTTTATTATCATTTATAATTTCAAAAATTGATCATTTATGTTTTACGGTAAAATGAAATGATTGATATTATTGATGAATAAAAGTGAAATCTATTAATTAAACAAATGAACAAGATGAGTCAGTAATTAGTAGAACTTTTGATGTGTTGCATCCTTTTAATTGATTCATTTATATAATTTTCTGGTCATATCAATTAAATTAAATGGATAAAACTGAATCGTTTTTTTTTCAAAAATTTTCAGAATCATGAAAAAAAAGATTGAAAGAAAAAATTTCTTCATGAATTACTTATCAATTTAATGACATAGATGATGTAAGTGTTAAAAGTTGCAAAGTAAAAAATAAAATTAAAAATTTAAAAATGAGTTTATATTTCAAATTACTGAACTTGGTCATAACATTACTTTAGTTGCATTTTGTCTTCATTTTCAATGCTAACATATTAGTTTAAAATAATTTTTAATTAAGTTTTTAAGATAATTTTAAATAAAACTTTTAATTATGATTTCATGTCAGCAGATCTGAGAGACGAGAAAGGACCAATTTACATCTTAAATCTTATTTTCTACATTAATACGGTATGATTTAGAGGGTTTTTTGGTAGTTAGAATGAAAAAAGGAAACCGACAAGTGGTACTCTTCAGAATTAGTACCGCAGTGACAATTGGACACAATGGGAGGTGTTTCATTCACTAAACTTCTTGTAAGGGATACCTGCACCTTCCAATTAATTACTACTGAACCGGAATTTATCTCAAACTCACTTTCTTCTCCTTCCTATTACTCTTAATATCTCCCAAATTTTAATTTCGATAAATCTATTCATTGCTGTTAATTACAGAATAATTGCATTTGACATTTTATTAAATCTAATATTAGTATCTATCAGCATATTTCTTACTTACTATTATATTTAATAAATCTTAAGAATTTAAAAAAAAAAAGTGAAGAAAAAGAAAAATTCAATGATTTGAAGCATTAACTTCAACGAGAATGTTTTATACGAAATGTATGATTCATTTTCCTTATATTTACTTTTTTCTTTTTTTTTTTTGTTTTAGATATTTTAAACTTTTTCAAACTTGAAATAAAATATGGGAAGTAAATTGAGAATGATTCTATACCGTACGTTTTGATAATATAATTTATACAGAATGACATTTCATGAAAATTTCGCGATATCTTGATTGATTTCTTGTCTTAATGTCATCAAATCGAGAAAGGCGACAAAGACTTAGAAATGACAGTAATAATTTGTCTGTTCTATTAATACAGAGACAGAGTCATGGGACTGGACTGTTTAGAGGTATCAATCAGAAATGATTGCATATAAAAAGGTGCAGCCGCTTTAGTGTACATTGCGGATTTGGATTTCTTGGTACGATAAAATGAAGTGCTTAGCACTATTGTATGTTATTGTATGTTAATCGAGCAGCAATCAAATTTGATAAAATATTCCTAAAATGATTTATTGCTTATTTTATTCTCGAAAAGAAAAAGAAAAAGAAGAAAGAATGTAAATTTAAATTTGAATATAAAAACATTGATATAAAATATTCATGCAAAAACTATCAGTTAATATGACAAGTACGAATGTCTATTTAATACTATTTTATTTATTTTTTTTTTGAATTTTAGATTAATGTTTGTTTATTGTTTAATTGTTCAAATGCGCATAACATAAGAATTAAAGTATTTACGATAATTGCATCATATTAGTAGCTTATTAAGAGATAATTTATGATCAAGAATGATAGAACTCGAGATGGTATAAAAATCTATGGCAACCTATTCTATAAATTTATTAAAATAATTGAATAAAATAATTGATAAGTTATAAGGATGAAAAAAGTAGTACCATATGGAATATTAGATTAATAATACTGTATGGAATATTAGATTAATAATTTTGTTAGTTTAATCAATGTTTACAACATTGATTTTATATCAGTTATTCCAATATGATAAAAGAGAAATAGAAAAAGGAAGCGAGAAATGATAAAAATGATAGTAGTAGTAGTGCAATGATTAGAAAAGATAAAATTAATCATTTTTATTTCATCTAACGCTGAATTATTTCTCATTTGATATATGATAACAAATGCTATGCTAATCCGTGTACTCAGAATATGAATACCCATGGATATACTGAAGAACTGTAGCAATATGACTATTTCAAGGGAAAAAAACCAAAAAATCTGCTAAGTCTTCTTAGAATGAAAGATCATACTTTCAATTCGTTTCTTTCCGTCCCTTTATTAGAGAAAAAACTGATATCTGCTTAATTTCATAAATCCCGAGAATCTATCTGTTTCCGAAAAAAAAATGTGAAATCATTTATTTAAGGAAATTGTTTCATCTAAAATATTAACACCTGGATGAGACAGGAATAAAATAGTAGGTAAATGAATAAGCAGTTCAGAAAATGCAAATAACTAATTGAATAATTTAAATTATTAAGAGAATTATTTGTAATATCAAACTGATCAGTAGGATTGGTATAATCAGTTACTGTTATTCATCGCCTGCAAAAAAAAAAAAAAAAAAACCATAACATTATTGAAATAAAAATCATTCCTTTTAATTTATAGGTAATATAAAGCAGAATCTTTACGGCTTACATTCTTATACTGCACTTTCAATTTACTTATATTCTGGTTTCTGCAAGCCTTTACTTCCAGACGAAAATTTGGGGCAAATTTAACTGTTCAAATCCAATTAATGTAGTCAAAGTCAATTTAGTTCAAAACAATTCAAGATGACTTGGAGCAATATATTTTACATAACACAAATGGAT